TGTCAGAGAGAGATGCAAACGGCACCCTCTGTTCTTCTGTGGGGTGTGTAAGCCACCAGCAAACCCCAACCCCGAGCTGTAGCACCATAACCCTGCTTCCCGGGCACAACGTGGGTCAGGAGGCAGAGCCACGCTGCCAGCAACCAGCAGCTCTGGCCTCTCTTCCCAGCCACGTGCTGATGTCCCCTGTGACCTTACCAAAGTCCCTTCGCCTCTGTGTTTTCCCCTCCACACTGTCTCATTAGTTGTTGCCTTCTCAGAGGGCCCTTGCTTAGTGCCACCAGGTCCTGGTCTTGCTTGGGACCTTGGCACCACGGGCATCCTGTGACCGAGGCCATTCCGGGAGTGCCCAGATACAGTTGGTGGATAGAGGGGAAGATCAAGGTGCTGATGGAGGTGCCTCTTCCCTCCGGCCCACCCCTGCACGCTGGCTGGCCTGTGCAGGAGGCGTGCGGCAGGTTGGACAGTCTCTGCAGGCAGCGCGGCGGTGCGCAGCCCTGCCGGGGGGAGGAGGGGGAGGCACAGATGGCAGCAGATGCTCTCATCAGTGAAAATGATTGAAGCAAAACACAAAACAACGAAAAAAAAAAATCCTAGCAACTGGTGAGCAGCCTAACAAAAACCGGCACAGGGGTAGAGAAAAAGGGTGTAGACCTGAAGGACCCTTGCACAGAGCCTAACTCCATGTGGCCTTCTGGCCCAGGGTAAGTTTTTCCCATCCCCAATTCACATATGGAGAAGAAAGACCATGCCTTGTCCTGGAGCACAGGGCAGTGATTATTTTTGAAGATTTGGATATACTGAAACAAAACGGTTCGGTGTCTCTCCCCTTCCCCTGTCCCTGTTCTCTCTGTTGTCCCCATCCCGCTGCTTTCAGAGGAGTGAGTATGACCCCGGACAGGGTCTAGGCACACCAAAGCCACTCGCCTACCCTCGCTTCCCAGGGCAAACCCACGAGCATGCCAACATGGCACACTGTTTCAGCAGTGGGGGCAAAGGAGCAGGCATGCTTCCCGCACCCAGCGGGTGTTACTGCAAAGCCTCTGCACAGCTTAGCTGCTGCCACTGGCCTCGGCTCCTCCAGCGTGATCACTTCGTGCCGGTGCAAAGGTCTTGCTCCTCCACCCCTCCCATCACCTGACTTTGACCCATTGTGCCGGGATTCAGCAACCATGCCCTGTGGTTGGCACATCTCCACGCTCCTGCCCAGCTTTTCTCAGACACATCCGGGGTGGAGGGAATCGGAGGGAATTTTCTCAATGTATGATGGGGATTTTTTCCTTTTCCCTTTGGCAGGAGTGCCTCACAGCACAGTCGGAGCCGCAGAATGAATGCTTCTGCAGCCTGCGCTGAGCTGAATGGCACAGCACGCAGCCCTCCAGCCTGCTACTTCTGCAATTAATTGCATGGTAGCTGCTTTTCCGACGTGCACGCGCAGCTCCGCGCCCTGAGAGTGCTGAGCCACACTGCACACGGGCAGATATTTCTATCAGGGAAATGGAGACAGATCCAGGGTGGCCCCGTGTGTGAGAAAGCTGCCTGGTGATGCTGCAAGTGCCTTTTGCCCGCTGAAGCACATCAGCTCTCTTCACTAATGGAGTGACACCAATTTGGGCTTAGCAGGAGGAAGGCATCGTGCTGGGATACACCAGGAATCTGCTGGGCTCTGTCCCAGCTCCTGGGGAGCACATGGGCAGGAGCCGAAGAGGCAAGTGATGCCCTTCCTATGGTGGGATGCACTGTTCACCTCAGTCAATATGTTTTTTTACAAGACAGGGTGAAAAGGAGCCTGGCAAACCCCTTCCTCCAGCATCTTGCTGTGCCCTGCTCCAGGACGCCGTGGCGAGGGTGACAGGCATGTGCATGGCAGAAACAACCACGCTTGGTAGAAGCAGAGTCATGTCAGCCCAAAGGTCAACTCTGGTTTCAGCCATCAGCAGTTTCGAGGTGCCAATACCCTCTGCGGTGGGAACAGAGTGCCCGGTGCTGCAGACAGCGCTGCTGGCTCGAGGGTGAAAGGAGGCTGGCTTGGCTGGTGGCGCAAGGAACTGCATCTGAACATCAGGCAAGGCTAAAAAAAAAAATTATTTGGACATTTAAAGTAATTGCAGGTTGGCAAAAAGTCTCTCCTTTTTGATGGATAAGAAAGTTGGTTTGGCAGCAATTTCTTTTTCCTAGTTTTAGTTTCCTTAGTGATCAGGTTCTGATTTTAATCCCTGTAGGATGCAGGAGGCTCCACTGCACTCTTCTGCACTTGGCCTGCCATGGCAATTAGGGGCTCTGGAAAGCATTTTAGTCAGAACTATTACGTGGACAAGCGTAACTCGCATTCGAAACACGTAGCTGGGATGCAATCCATCTTCGGATATGCCTGAAATCTGGGAAAGAGGAAAAAACAGAGTGGGGCAAATTATTTTTAAGTGCTTTACCTGAAATAAAGCACTTTCCTCTAGCAATAAGCAACTTGCTGCATAATTTTTGCTCAGCTCAAGATGGTTGTGATGGGGGTGTGTGTGCTGGCCCTGGGGCTGAGACAATGGATTCACATCTGGTAAATGGGAGCTTAGAGCGTGAGGCTGCTTTGTTCTGCCTGCCTGACCATAACAGCGCTGCCCCTGCTCTCCCCACTTAATTTCCCCTGGGGAAAATAGGGATGCTACTCACCCGGTCAGCATGCCTGAGCCACCCAGAGCTGACCAGGTGCACTCGCAGCGCTGCCGTCGCTCCATCTGAGCTGGCCACCCTCTTCCTCCTCCAGGTAGTCACGGGTCCACACCCCAACGCCAGAATTTCAGGTTGAACGGGATTGGGATCTAAATAGGGTTTAGCTCCTGGCTTTGGGAGGCAGGTGAGGTTTTGCAAGCCTCTGTCACCGCCTGCTCCTGGCCCCTGCGATCCCCGGAGCAGTGTAACAGCAGTGAATCATTTGTTTTGGTTTCTCCACACCAGGCGCTCGGCTGCAGCGCCTCGCGCAGAAGCAGTGGGCGTGGGAGAGATGGATGGCTCGCGCGCTGAAGCCTCTCCCGCTGGCCGGCCGTGAGAAATGGTGTCCCACTGGTCCCCAGCCCCAACCAAGCATCTCCTCCTGTTTGCTTCCATTAGGGGTTTTGTATGGGTCAAATCTCCCATGTCCTCACCGCCCAGGGATGCATCAGGGGGTCCGTGGGGTGGCTGAGGAGAGGTTGCCAGAGGTGAAGGTTCAAGAGGGAGCTCAGCTCGGCCTCTTGCTGGAATGAACAGCCCAAGGCAGGTGTCTGGCAGTCCCTCAGGACACCCCATCTCTCTCACCATCCCCTGCCTGCTGCCAGTCCGGCATCCTTGTGCCATCTCCTTCCTCGCACTCCTCCTTGCACCGTGCCACGGGCCGGCCAGGGAGCGATCCTCCCGATGGCCGATCTGGGATCCTCATCTGGCAGCAGCATGCCAGGCCCAGGGTTGGAAACATTGATTTTAACTGGGGTTTGGAACAAAACTGTTGAAATCGTCTTCCTTCAGCAGGCTTTGCGAGCTTGTGGCTCTCTGCCTAGATAATAGCTTTTACGAGGAAGCTTTGGGATTTTCAAACTCATTCCTTTCCCCTTCTTTTTTTTCGATTTTACCCCTGAAAAGGGGTGTTGGGCTGGGGAGGAAACAGCCCTCAGCTGAAGCAAGTCTTTCTCAGTTTTCCCCTGGCCAGGGTGCTCCACTTGGCTGCGAGGAGGGAGCTGGGCAGGAAAACCATCAGGAAAAGCAGAATGGAAGACCCCGGCTTCGTTCCAGCCATGCCAGGCATGTCCTGCTCTCACTCCCACCGGGACTGAGCACTCCAGAGCCGCTAGCAGAGCGAGCTCTCCTGCTGCCCCATCATCTTACCATGATGATGGTAACTGGGCTGGAATCTGTGCTGTTTCGGTAGCATAGCCCTGGTTTTGCAAAAGTTTCCCTGCTGACAGTTTTGGCTAAGCTGATTTTCTGCGGTAGGAGAAGGGTATGAACTCAGTGCTGCTTATACAATGGGGAGAGTGATATTTTTTTAGCATTCCAGAGTTTTATACCTCTGGTGCTCTATGAGAAATCACCTTTCTGGGAAAGATTTTGTGGCAAGTTAACTGTGGGAGCTTGACATCCTTCTTGAGCAAGATGCCGACTGCGTGTCTGGAGAGATGAGAGTTAATTTTAAAACATCCGGCATCCGTATCAGCGGGGAGGAAGGTTCCCTTGATTTCCTAAGCGCCAGCAAAACCTAAGCTCCTAAACCCTAATCCCTCTCTAAGCTGGAGCTGCCAGGCCAAGGCCAAGGACAGAGAACCCTTGCTGCGTTAGCCAGACCAGCCGCGGCCCTTTGGGGCCACCGCAGCGGGACGGAGGTGAGCCCACCCCGTCCACCCAGAAGCCCACCCAGGGGCCAGGCTCCCCCTGAACCCCTCAACTTTTGGACCGCTCTTTGCCACGCTCTCCTGTGAGACCACGCTGCCGTTACGTCCGTCCTTCCCTGGCGCGGGCACTTCAGAGCGAGTGAGTCCAGTGGGCAGAGCCGGCAGCCACCGAGTGAACTTGGAGCACCAGAGGCTCCAAGTTCAGCATCGGGGCGGTCCTGGGGCGGGCAGCGCCGGCAGGAGAGCTGCCGGCAGGGTGCACTGGCAGGCAGGAGGGGTGCCCCTGCCTGCTCCAGGCCCGGTGTTGCCGCATCAGGCCAGAGGGGCAGCCCGGCAACCATCCAGGGAGCAAAAATACACAACAACGCTTTTTTTGTTGTTTTTTGACGGGCGCAGCGCGGCGCTGGAGGTGCCTCCCGGAAACATCAGCAGCCGGGAGGGTCACCCCCCCGAAAAAAAGCCTTTTGCCGCTCAGGCCGCCGTCCCCGCGGGGTGACCCGTGGCCCTGAAAGGGGGCAAGGGGGCATCACCCCAACCCCCCGGCGTGGGAGCCTCCACGCAGCCGGGCAGGGCCGGGGCT